TGATTCGAAATTGAAACAATATTTGACGTTTTCTTTTTTTTTTTTTTGACCTAAGTTTTATCTTCAAAATTTCCTAACATAAATGTAATATTTTTTTTCGATTAAGAACAGAAATTCTCTTATGGAACAAGTTCGAAGACGTACTTACTTTAAAATAATGCTATAAAAAGTAAGGTCCTTGCCAACGATCGTAATACCTCAACTATGGAAAAACGGACTATTCGTTTAGTTTCACAAAGCTCAGAAGAACTTTGACATAGCTTAACCATTGACCACATTTGGAAATCTGAGAATGATGGATTTCTCTTTCCTATCGTCTTTACTTTTTTTTCTTTTTTTTTTTTTCTTTTTTTTCTCAACGATCGACAACCAAAGATTTAATAAGTATTAAATCAAAATCCTTAAGAAGGTTTTCTGTTTCAAGAATTCTACAGTTACGATTTGGAACTTGTTTCGTAAAAATGAAAGCAATAGGTTGAACTATCGATAATAGGATTTAGAAGAAAAAAAGAAATAAGTAATCGAGTACTACTTTCGAATAAGTAGTCTGTTGAGAAAACTCGACGATAGGACTTTAACGAAATTTTACGTATCGTTTATATACACATATGTGAAGAAAATTGAGGAAGTTTTATGCTAAACTCTTCTTTGTATTTGTAACGTTTCGAGTATTTCTTTCTCCTTTTCTTTTGTTTATCAGTTTGATCGATTTCCAAAGATCAATGAAAAATATGATATCGTAAAAAGAAGCTTAATATTTATAAAGAGTTTGTATACGTAAACAAGATCACAATTATAGTCAACACACACACACATGAAATTTATCTCGTTCTAATTTTTACTTTTATTCATATTTTAATTGTTCATTTTATTCTTACTAGATCAATCGATGAATAAGTATATTTATATACAGATATACGTATTTAAAATAGATTATAACAATTTTTTAAATACCCAATGATGTCATAAAACGATTTGGTAATATCATTCATTATTTAATTATTTCATACAGGTAGCTGTAAATAATTCTACGATAATGCTAAGAATTTCTCGATGAGAATAAGATTTCGTGCTTAAATCTCATTACGGATTCAATGTACGTTCACCTTAATACAAGTCTCTAATGGAGTGAAAACGGATGAGATTCGCACGTATATTATATATATGTAGAAAAAGAGAGAGAGAGAGAGAGAGAAAGAGAACATATCTTAAAATGAATTTAAAAAGATAGATTGTCGGAATGAAAATCACGCAAATTGTCCTAGATACTAACTTGCCTAAAAATTATCTTCCTAGTTGCAAGAGAAAAGCAGCAATTTGAGTTAGATAAAACAGAAAAAGAAAGGAAAGAAAGAAAGAAGGAGAGCTCAACTACGTGCTTTGAGAGCTTTAAAGCTATGGAAAAAAGGGACGATGGCAGCAATGTTTCTTTGACCAAGTAAAAAAAAAAAATTTATTCTCCACGTAAGCATCAACGTAATTAAGGCTGACCATTCGCTGCATATAATGTTTTGACAAGGCTTAAAATGAAGGGAACACTAGACACGTATGTATGTATGTATGTATGTATGTATGTATGTATGTATGTATGTAGAAATTAATACTTAGAAGAAAAAAATCAACATAAGTTAATTTTCACAGCTTCGCGTTGAAAATGTCCCAGTATTATGGCTCATGATATGAATTTCTCCATATTTTAATGATAAAAAATGATTAATCATACGAATGAGAGATTTAAGTGAAATCAAGCTAGAGATGTTCCATAAAATAAAATGAAGACGAGTCGCATGACCTTTTGATCATGATGATTATGAAGTAGACGGATCATGATGAGTTGGAGGAAAAAAATAGAAAAGAAAAGAAAAGAAAAGAAAAGAGAAAAGAAAAAAGAAAGAAAGGAAGAAAGATTCAGAAGTAATATCTCGAAAGAAAGAATAGAGTCATAGATGAGTGAGTATATTTTTTTCCATCAGTATTTCTCTTTCTAATAGCATTGTTCCTTACCAATCTTCAACCTAAATTTTCTTTAATTTCTTAAACACAGGAAGTCGATTTAGAAAAGTGCTTGACGAAAATAGAAAAACTAGCGATGAAAGTGGCAGTTTTTCAGTGAACAAAATAAAAGAGATAGTACAGAGAAAGAAATAAAAAAAAAAGGAAAAGAAAATGTTTTTACTTTTTCATCATTTAATCAAGCATTTAAATCCATTTAACTGTATCCTTCCACAAAATGAAATGAACGTTTCGACCTGACGGCGATTCGATTAGATTTAATACGATAATTGCTAACTAAAAGGTAATTCTTCCCGATCCTCTCTTTATTCATACTTCCACGACATTATCCTGATAAGTTAATTCAACTCAACTTAAGTAGAATGAAAAGCATTCCGAACGATTCACCTAAGCGAACTTTACCTTATGGATAAAAGAGAAAAATCTTAATGTATTTTCATCTAGGAGAGTAAACGACACTAGCGAAACATTAACAAGGCCTTCCGGAATATTAACTCCGAGTTTACCTCAAGAGTAAAAATCTTCTCGTGTGCATTTTTTCTTTCTTTTTTTTATGATTATTATCATTATTTTCCTCAACAGGTAAATTTAATTTTTTGTGTGTACGTGTGTGTCCTTACTTTTTATTAGACGATATAAAATAATATACGATAATATTCGCTCGATATAATAACAAATTTATAATTACTCTTAATTGTGTTTTTTTTTTCTTCAACCCCGTATTCTCATTAAATGACACATAAGATTATTGGTCTCGTTTCTTTTGACTTGCTGAAAATTCATGAAAAAGAGGAAGAAAAGAGAATATGACAGACCCTTAATCCTTTGATCTTTCTGTCTTTCATTCCTACATGACATTAGCAAATTTTGTAGAAAGAGGAAAAAAAAAAAGGTCATTTGCTTGAGAATAAGAAAGAAATGAAAGAAATGAATGAAAGACAGAAGTTTCTTGATTCCTAGAGCGTGCGCAACTAGACTGAAAGAACATGTCGATTAGACCAAGAATAGAATAGGAAAAAAAAAAGGAAGAAATTTAACGGTATGCCGCTTAACAACGTAACCCTTTTTTTTTTTACCCCCGTAGGAAGAGCTAGGCGTGGAATGAATAAGTACAACGGAATTAAATATCAAGAAAATAAAGTAAGAGCTGAGAATACGAAGGACTCGTCGACGACAACATCGGACTAGAAAATATAAGGTAATGTAATACCACGATTTTCCAAAGAAAGAAAAAGAAAGAGAAAAAAAAGGAATAAAAGTAAAAGAAAAAAAGAAAAAAAAAAAAAATTAAAAAAAATTAAAAAACGAGAGAAATACAATAAATTTTCACTAATTCTTCTTCTTCAAATGCTTTCCAAGTGTGCGATTAATTAGAAGCAAAGTAGAAGTACTTTTGTAGAATTGTGGATGATTATCGAAACTCATCTTGATGATCATCTACAATTAATCTTCTCGAACACGATCAACGCTTAATTTTCATCGAATTTACCAGCTATACTTTTTTCCTTTTATTTTTGGTCCGTTTTGTTTCTAGTACCTATATTCACTTTTTTATACGATATTTAAGATAAAAAATGTTCTTAGCGAAAGGAAGAAGATTCTGATTACTAAAAAATGCTCGTTGTTTTACGTAGGTCAGGCTCTGGATGATAAGAGAGAACGTTAACGAGATTTAAAGAGTTACGTAGTAATAAGATAGGCGAGTGGTCTAAACTACAAATTTTTTCTCCTCTCATCCTCCCCCTTTTGTTCTTTCGACCGATCATGAAAGTTTTTTCTTCAATTCTATTTTTTCGTTCTTTGGTCATTATACTCAACGATATCACTAAACTGTATTCATTATTTTAAAATGTCACTTTCTATTATGTTAGTTGAAATACAAAACAACAACAAAATAATTTAAACATTACAGTTTCCAATATTTTTCTTTTTTTTATAATAATAATAATAATAAATTACACAATTTAAGCTTTAACTTCAATAAGAATTCTAATTTTGTGTATATGTTCGATGTAAATTGTTTCTGGAGTACCAGTTTCTCTCCTTTTCCTTCCAACCCATTTTCTCTGTTCCTTTTTCAAGTATCCACGTAGCACTACCGTGATAATAAATTAGGACATTCTACGCGGATTCTAGAGTACATGATGCCAAATTCAATTGAATTTAGGTAATCTACAATTCTTTGTTTTTTTATAATTAAATTTAAAAATATCAACAATTTGTTACATTACAATTACGTTCTTTTTTTTTTTTTTTTTTTTTTTTTTTTTTCTTTCATTTCACCACTTTTCGCAAAGTACGAAGTGTCTATCGTGTTTCGACTATTAATTATACATTGTTTTCTATTTGAGATATGAAGCTAGGAAATTTAATTAAAATAATCGTCAATATCTATAAAATAATACGAAATAGTAATTTTCATTTGGAAATGTCTCAGTCTTTTAAACAATAAGTGTGACACAAATTATTAGAAATGCTGTTAAATTGATTGCTTATCGATTTTCATGTATCATCGAACAACTTTTATTGTACGATTATATATGACACTTTTTTCAACATTATTTTACAAATTTTATCCGACGACTTCGAACGCATTTAATTTATTATCCTGATGATTTTTCTTTTTGTTTTGTTTTTTTTTTTTTTTCATTTTATAAAGCACAAGCCAATTGTTTTATCAGAATTCATTAATATTTCAAATACTATTTCATCGTTGAAAATGTTCCATAAAAGTAGGATACTCTTATAATTAAATATCTGTATAACAAATCTAACTTTTATCAATATGATGATACAAAAAAAGTTTTCGTCTTTCTTGAAATTTCATCAAAATATAAATATGTTTTGAAATTTTTGCTTATAAAAAGTTAGAACCACTAGTACCTTTATAAAACTTTCCCTCATTCATAGTATAACTTTTTTTAAAGTACATACATATGTTCACTTGTATCTCAACATATTGTAATATTACAAATCTCTTAACTTACTCGATGTAATAATTAAAATCCTCTTCAACGATGCACGATGACCCAAAGAGAATGTCATTCATCGATCGTTAATCACGATATCGACGTTCAAGAACTGTGCAAATGAAATAGACTTATCGCACTTAATAATTTATTTGATTGAACGTGAATCATGATTCGAATCACGTGTAGGTAATACAAAAATCTGACGTGCTTACGAATGATTTCAATGATGTTACTATAACGAAAAACAAAGAATGAATTTTTAAGAATGATAATGACATTGTAATTAATGTAAGTACCCCGTTGCACGCGTTATAATTAACGATGAAATATTATCAAAGTAAAAAATGATTATTATTTATTTAAATAATACACAATGTCCCGTATATTATGAAATGATGCTAAAGATTAAAAAATTGATAACACTAATTTTATTCGATATGATCAATTTTTCCTAATTGTTTGATATATTTTTTATTTTTATTTTATACCGTCCTAATACAGCAGGCACTGTTCACTAATAGTGATAAAAATTTTATTGACGATGAAACTTTTTTGTTTATACATAAATTACTTTTTATTAGTTTCGTTTCACGCAAGGAAGTTTAGTTTGTAACATAATTATAACATGGAAGTGTTAAGTTTAATCGGATTATTCTTAAAAAAAAAAAAAAAAAAGAAAAAAAAACGAAAATTCCATTTATATTTCAGTGTCATTCATGTCTAATGGAATTTAAAAGTCACAAACTTAAGAAGGACTACAGGGGATAAACACAAGGAGCGTGTTTTCGCCTCGGCGGTTGCGCGCGTACTGAAAATCCCAGAAACCACCCCCATCGACCCTACTATTCGCCCCCATCTCTATACAGATAGCAGACTGTATTATGTCCACAAAACGCATCACTTTATTTTCTGTAACTTAACAAATATTTATTATTTATAAATACGAACTAAATATCATACTTTATTTTACTTTTCATTTGAATTTTGTTGTTTTCCTGTGTTTGCTACTTCAGATGATTTTAAATCAAATTTAATTTAATCTGTATTCTTGATTTACAGAACAATTAATTGTTATAATTAAAATTTCATTATCTTTCATTTGACGAATGATATAACAACTTATATTCTTTTCTATTTTTTTTTTTTTTTTTTTTTTTTAATAAAAACAGTATAATAAGATATTCTTATGAATAAAATGAAATAAATTTTCGACAAAACACTGAATTGATTTCTGATTTGCCATTTCGATTTTGTATAGTGAAAAGCTGCTCAATTTAAACTACGTGACAACATAAAAGAGGTACCAAAAATCAAACAACGAAAAAGACCGTCAATATACGATTCTCACGTTGTCACGTTTAAATCGGGACGTGTATGTATTTTATTTTATAGTATCGAGCCACACATCTTTATCTCTCTCAAAGTGAATTAAATAGCATTAAAATATTTAATAAGCATTTGAATTATTAATATTTTATATTATAATGTCTTTCATCGGAAACAAAAGGAAATACGTTTAAGCTATGATAATAATTAAACGTTATTACATTATTTAAATGCGTTATCTATTATTTGTAACGATCAAATATTTCTATTGATAAATTTTTTACGTTCTTATGCAATCGTACCTTTTCTTTTGATATAAATTTCAATTGCGTCGGAAGAAATAGATATTTGTATTGGTATCTCATTGTATTGTAAAGAAAATTAAATATTTAAAAAAAATAAAATAAAATAATTGAAGAAAAATCATAATTAATGCAGTCACCGTCTTATCAAATCGATCTTATTGTATTTGAGAAAATATGCAAGTCAAATTTATTACGAGAATTCCACAACACGGCAATGAGGCGTGATAAGATTGCGATATTCGGTAAGATTCTATTCCCATCCAATTAAATTGATTTATACAAGCTTTTCCTTTTCGATCGTATTAACAAAAACTCGGGGTTTATTTTACATTTTTTTACTTTTACTACGAAGTACCAAAGAAAATCTTGAAAATATTGAATATAAGAAAGTAATTTTTCGAACGTTTTTATATCAAATTAATTATCGAAAAAAAATTGCAAGGATTCCCTCCTAACTATAATAACTCTAATGTAACTTTTTGCAAATAAAATTAATTAATTTAGAAAGAATAAAACCATAAAAAATTAAAAAATAAACTTTTGAAAATTTAATAAAATATAATTTTAAATTGTATGTATAATATTATAATATTTGATTAAAAAAAAAAAAATTTCATTTTTATATCACACAAAAGAACTTTTCAATCTAGTAAACTTGATCTAAAACATATATATAGATGATTCATACGTATTTCACATATTTCATTTTACAATTTACATTTTAAATGGTAACAAAGCTCGTAAACTTTATTCGATTTGAGACCAGTATCCCCAAACTCACTCTATTCACGAGAATTTATTGGCTAGAAAGTTTGTTACAAATACTGAACGTGACGTGATTATACCCATGGGTAAATATAGGAATTATTGTCAATATTACTAATGTTCAAAAACGGTTAAGCCTTTATAATTTATTTAAAAAACATTCTATCTAAATAATATATATATATATATTTTTTATAATCGATACAATTTATGTATCTCCAACTGAAAGCGAAAAAATTTATATTATTATATATAAAGATATAAAAATATGTTTATACATATATGAGTCAAAATGGTTTTGAGAAAAGGAGTGAAACAGTTGACATGATATGCTGAAAGATATCTGTGATTTTTCGTAAAGATATTGAAATTACTAGAAATAAATGATTATAAATTAAATATATTAGTATATAAAAAATATTGCAATAAATGTATATTGTCATATAAAAATTGTTTACAATTCTAATCAATCTAAATATATACAAAAGCTACACATTTTCTATATCTGTTTCGTTCATAATAGCATCAAAACCGAAACTACATCTTGATATATTCAAATATTTACTTTTTCTAATCGTATGATTTTTACTTTTTCTAGGCGTATTTATTTTACATCTTCTCTGTATTCTTACATGTAGTGGTACATAACATTCTATATCATCAAATTCATCATGAGTATCGTTTACTGTATCTTTTTTGAGTGATGTATCATCAGAATTATTAGATTCAATAAAATTACGTTTTATATTATTCATATTTTCAATAAAGTTTTCATCTTGCATTGAAACATTTAAGGTTTCTAAATCATTTGTAGAATTACGTTTTATATTATCCATATTTTCAATAAAGTTTTCATCTTGCATTGAAACATTTAAGGTCTCTAAATCATTTGTAATACTAGAAATTGTCTTATCTTTATTCTCCCATGGAAAAGTATATGTATTACATATCCCATCAATTATCCCTGTTATATTCAGATCAGCATCTTCATTTTCACTGGTAAAATCTTCAGGTGAAAGCTCAAGAAACATCCTATCTAATGTATTATTTAATTTTACGTTAGTTTTTTCTAATTCTAATATTCTTCTCATTTGTGGTGGACGTTTAATACTCTCATTTAAATACATTAAACTACTGCAACCAACATTCGCGTTAGTATCAGAAACACATCCCTGTTTAGACCTTTTTGGTGTTATACTCATTCTCTCAAATGATTCTTCTAATGATAATGGCTTATTTCTTATGATAAATTCATCAATCTTTTTATTATTTGCACATTCAGTAAACTTTTTCTTAGTTCTTTTCTGAGGCTTTTTCGTTTTACCTTCTTCGACATTATTAACATTTGGATCTTTAGTTATCTTTCTTTGCCGTTTATTGGCTGTTTTTTTCTGTGATTTCTTTTTATTCTTTTCCATTTCAAAAGATTCAACTAAATCTGGATAACATTTCAAAACTGCATCTTGTGGCTCGATAGTTACAAGCTCGTTATTTATAAACTCGTCATCGTTATTTTCCTTATCAGATACATCGTGATAGATTTTTAATTTTTCTCTTATACCGGTAACGTCTGTCCATATAATTTCATAACTAGCGACAGATTTTATATTGCGCACTTTCTTTATTTTTTCCGGCACAAATAAATTATTTACAGAGAAGTGCATGTCAGAAGAAATATTTGGAAGATTACGAAGTTGCCATCTTGTTACTAAAGGAAAAATTTTTTCAAACGCATACTGTGGCTCCCACGTTAAATATTTATCAACAAAATCCTGAAATAATTATCCATTATATTATTTATACAAGCGTTTAAGAGTCTCATTTTTTATACAAGTTATTATATTACCACTTACAATAAATTTATTTATCTGCGGTTGTTTCCATTTTATATCTAATTTTGACGGTACAGGATCCTTTCTAATAAGAAATTCATCTAAAAGTTCTTGATCTGGAAAATCATCTATAAGAAGAGCTTTTTTCCTAATTTGTATTTCATTTAATATAAGTGCTCTTTCTTCTCTGTTAAATATAATAAAATAATACATTTATTTAAATAACTTATGAATTTTATTTAAAAGAATACAAAATGAATCCCTTACTTATATGTATCCTTGCATTTAATAACAGTACCGCATTGTACGCAACCTGATTTTGTATGTTTTTGTAACTTTCCCGTGTGACCACACGATGTACATAAATTAGGATTTGATAACTCAGCCTCAACTTTTTCAAAATTTCTATCAGTCCTCCAACTTTTTATTCTAAAAAGTATAACGTTCTTTGCCAAATATTAAAATATTAACCGTAACACAGAAATATAATATTTACCTTTTTAAAATATCGGAATCACTGACAGTCTTAAAAAATTTAAGAGCTGCCTCTTTTCCAACACCATTGATACCTTCATTATAATCACAGCCACATAATAAAGCTAATGCTATCATTTTATTTCTTCCTAAATTTAATATATTCTCTATTTTATCTATCCTATACTCGTCAACAGCTCCACCAGTACCAGCTCTATTTCCTTGTGCGCTCATACAAAAATTTCTATAAACAATTTTTGCCCCATATAAGAAACAATCGCTATCCTGACTTATACAACCATCCACAAGCTACAAATATAAAATACAATAAACAGTCTAGTCTATAGAAGTATATAGAACAAAATAATTACAAAATCACTTACACCATCTGCATTTAAATAAGCACACATAGCTTCAGCTTCACCATCACCTTGTACGCATGCTATACCCATATATCTAAGGAGTTCTTTGCATTCATAAAGAATTCTGTTAAAATTAGTTCTTCCCCCTTTATTTGCAGTCTTTCTTTCCTGAAATCCAGCACGAATATTATTTCTCTTTTCAATAGTTTTATGTTTCAATGCTGGTGCTTTTCCTTCTAATACAAATACTGGTATTATTTCTTGTGTAAGAAGATACGCAGTACGAAAAAATAGATTCCTAAAAACAATTTCATTGCTATCTTAAAGGATATACATTAACACTGGAATAAACTTAACCATATAAACATAACCTCATTTATATAATTTAAAAAATACAATTTTTTTCAATAAAATACATATAAAAATAGATAATATAATATTTTTATCAATAATACATTTTATTTATAAATATTCAATGTTAAATTAGAGAATAAAGTTATGCATACCTAAGATACATTTTCGGTTGAGCAAAATTATCAGTAACACTTTGACTATCTACTATCCAACAACTCAAATCAATTGCAATAACTTTTCCTTGAAGTTCAAACAAAGGTCTTCTTTCACATAAGGGTGATAAAATATTCCAAAGATCTTTTACCCCCATTTTTAAAAATTCAATTCAAATTTTATCAACACACTTACAAAAACAAACGTACAGTGTATAAACGACGACATGACACACCTAACGGTAGTATCTCAAACTAATTGTAAGATTTAAATGTCCACCATGAAAATTATTATTAATCACGAGTACATACTACATTTAAACATCGTTTTTTTGTTTATTTAAAAGTTTTATTTATACAAGTTTTATTTTATAAAAAAATAAAATAGATAAAAAATGTTAAAAATACAATTTCTTTATTATCGACGGAGCAAAGTACATTCAAGAAATGTACACTGACTTTGTATTTTAGTCCTAGGGACTCTCAAAGTCAATTTTATTACAGATAACTTTCCCATCTATATAAGAAGTTTAAGGATGAACCGTAAGTTACTTTATGTTCGTTCGTGACGTTAACATGTGCATGTATATTTTGTGAATGTATTCTCGACATCGTAGTGTCTATCTCTTGAAATACCAAAAAGTGTTTATATATATAACATTTTTTTAAGCACTCTATTGAGAATTTGATTAATTGTACGTGTTATGTATTTTTAATAATAAAGTTAATAATATGAGTAGTACATCGCGTAAAGTGAGAAATCCATTGCTCTCAGCAGCTGGCATGGGATCACCTTTTGAATATTATCCGGAAAATGCTCTCCTTGTCCCAGTTACACCTGCAACACCTGCTGTTCTTCGAGACGGTAAGTTTATAGATATAGAAATGATATAACCGCAAGGGTGCGGTTTCACTTTTAAAACTTTATTTTGGTTAGCTTATTTTTTATATATACGAAAATATTGAAGCAAAACAATATATCTAAATTTGACATTGATAACAACTCTCTTAGATCAATTCTTGTACTGTTGATCATATGACTCATTTTTTTTCTTTATTTTGCGTCACAGATGAAACATTTACCATATAAGATGGAATCTGTTTTACGCGGTCGGTATGGTAGGTATCTGATGTGATTTTTATTTTATTTTACACTCTTGGAAAATTACAGCAATGATGTTGGAATTTAAAGAATTTAGTACACCTTTCTATGTTAAGTTTTATTTTGTTTTTATAGAAAATTATGAAATTATATGAGTTAATAATTCATAAAACTTTATAATGTAAACATTGAAAACAATAAATTTATATAAGAGACATTTTTTAAATATGATTATTACATTTATATTTATTAAAAGGTATTTATATTAAATGTAATACTTCGATGTATTATTATAATTTCTCATTGTTTCTTTTTTATTAATTTGTCAATCACAAAAAGATAATACTTTTTATTTACTATTATTAGTCTTATTACATTTATTCATTAGAATAAATTCTGATGTTTATCTTTATTTTGTTAATTAGTTTTTTTTTATCATTTAATTTTCTAATTAGAATTATTGGAAATAAGTTTTACTGTATAAGGAAAAAGTTATTGCTTAAAAATAAGAATTAAATTAATTTTTTAGATTTAATTATAAGGAGTGACTTAATTATAAAAGTCTATTTAATTGAGACAAATTGAAATTTATCGTTTGATCGAAGAACTATTGTAACTCTACCGTTTGTATATAAATAATAAGAAATTAGTATTATATAATGTTGAGTTACGTAAACTTTGATTAACTATATAAAATCAGAAACTAGTTCTTTCAGCTCGTGCAGGTGTTGTTCGTGAACCGTATCGTTGTGTGTATGGCAAATCATGGCTTTTCCTTTTACGTACGCAAAAGATAATAAGTATAATAATTAAAATTATAATTAGAAGAATTAATAATGCGCCGACTATAATAGCAGCTATCTCTCCTTCGGATAAATTGTCCCAAACTTGAAAAAAAATAATTATTATACTATACATGTATTAAATATGTAAAATGAACGAATAAAAAATAGATAGAAAATAATTGATTATTCATAAAATTATCAATAATAGTAATTGTCTTTATAATTAAGCCATTTACCTGTAACATCTATGGTATACGTATTATAATTATTTCTTAAATCGGTTGCTGTAATCTTTGCCTGAGTGGAGCAACAAGTAGCTGAATAATAAAAAGTTACTGGATTTCTAGTACCACTTATAAACTCAGTACGTGGATAAACTTCGTTCGGAGATGATTTAACACTTTTCAGACCTTAACACAAAATTTGTAAAGTTTTCGATTAAATATAATTAAATCTAGATCAATTGTATACGAAAGAAATTCTATGAAAAAAAAAATTTCTACCAGATCCAGAATCTTGAATTCTAATGTCAACACTCCAACGAGATTTCGTGCATTTTTCTTTACTCAATTTACTCGCACAATTATTATTGAACGTGTATTCTATGGCAGGCTTTGTATCGTCGACGACCTAAGAAAATAAATCGGTTGATACTCCGATCAAATTACCTTTATCTCAATATAATATTATTTTCATTGACATGACACATTAAATTTGATATCAAAAGACATTACGTTTGGAATGTTGCCTTCGACGTAGAGGTAGACCGATTTTTCTGTTATTTCTGAACCCTGTACGTACAATGTTAAAGTATTGATAACATCTTGGGTTGTTCCTCTTGGTACTTCAACATCGACGAACACGTTGATCGTACGACCAGCATAAATCCACGTGCTATTATAAATTATATATAATTAATTATCAAAATTATATAATGTTTCATTTTAAACGACTTACGAAATCGGTTGAACGTTAACAACTATCAGAGGTAAACTTCGAACTTTGAAATCACATCTAATTGTTTGATAATGATTATTTGTAACATCAAAAGCTATTCTGTGTATCGTTCCTGGTCTTACGAAAAGATTACTATTTTGATTTAATTCCACAACGATCCTTCTCTTTTCTTCTTTCTCGTCGTCTCCAAGTCTTGCATATTCATTTGAAAGTTCTTGAGTGTTAATATTTTGTATCATTCTCGATACGTTGATATTAGCCTTGTTAACGTCGTCATTCTCAAAAATAATTTTACTTGATCGATCGTTTAACGATCTAGACCGAACTCTTTCACCTTGCTAAACAAAATTTATATCAATTAACATTTACGAGATTTAAGATTATAATTAAATGATTACGATATTTATATCATCATCGTACATCTGTTTGAATCGATGATAACGGAACATGCAAATTTTCCACATTCACTTCAGGCTCGTTTCGTTTACCTCTAATTTCTACAAATTCTGACGATTCATCGTTGAGAACGATTTCTTGACTATTCTAAAAAGTCATTTACTTGAATTATTTTGTCATTTTAAAAACGTTTATTATTGTTTTTTTGTTCGTTATACCTGAGAAAGTTCATCGAAAGTTTCAACGTTGTTGAATCCTTGTTTATTTTCTTCGTATTTCCTATAATCCGAGTCTGTAGATGGAATTTAAAAAAAAAAAAAAAACAATTACAGAAGAAGGAGGAAGTTAAGGAAAAAGTAAGAAACAATAATAAGAATATAAAAGAAAGAAAGAAAGAGACATCATGCGTCAGGTCCATGCTAGTAGCGGCCAAAGGGCACCTAGCCGCATCGTCGTATTCGAGTTCGCGTTGTTGCACAATGTTAATCGTATCTCGCAAACTAGAAGCTAAAGCCTTGCCAGTTGTCAGTCGATTCCCGTAGTGTTACAAAGAACACAAGCGCGAGCTACCACGGTCAAACTTTTATGTAAGTAATACACATGTATTATGCATTCGTTGCATTAATGCGTTCTATTCGAGTTATCCATTTTTGTAACGTTTTGCTTATAAATCAATGTAATATGTATTTTTATTTTTATATATTTTCGTATAACGAGATAAACTTATCAACGTTTGCTCAAATATTGTCTTTTTTTCTTTTTTTTTTTTTTCTTCGAAATCTTTTTCAATACAATATATCGTAATATTCTTCAAATGAAAGTATTTTTAAATACAAACACGCGAATTCAAAGTTTTTTTTTAAAATAATTTGAAAAATCGTTTGATATTTTTTACAGTAATTTTAATTAAAATTATTAACGAATAAAGAGGTGCAAAATAATATTTTCATCAATATTATATTTTTACGTTTGACACGAATGTGATGAGAAAAAGTGTCATTGTATTTTGCTAATGAGATTATTTGACTAACGAAACGTGGACGAATCACCGATCTCTCAACTATATCGATTTACATTTACATATGTTTCTTTCCTTCTTTGTTTTTTTTTTTTTTGCCTATTAAATAAATATATAACTCTTATTGCAAAAAATAGAATAGAAATAAATATAAAACAATTACCATTATCATTGTGAAATTTCATCGAATAATTTTCATCGAGCTTAGTATTGTTCCTATTAATATTACATCGAATTATTTTTTTTTCCACGAGAAACGAATACTTTGAAGCTCCCTCCCCAATGAGTTTCAAGAGCCAACCACCCGGTGGAGCATTCAGCGCCACTATTTCCAACCCTCCTGAATCGTCGTCCGTTCGTGCCAACGATAAAGTTGTTGGCTCAGTATTATACCACTTGCTGTCTGTTATTAAAAGTCAAACGAATGAACGATCGATTCGAAAAATATCACGATGGTGAATTTCTTAACAAGAATTTAATTTTTCATCGTCAATATTTTACGAAATCGCGTTTAAAACGTAAGTAAAAAAAAAAAAGAAACGAATAATATTAGTTAGGGTTGATAACGTAAAACAAGATTAAATAAATTTTTAATCTATAGTGTTTAAAAAAAAAAGAAAAAAAGTGATGTCAGTGTTTGTGTGTTATTCACGGAGATGATTATGATAATAAATGATGATGATGACGACAACGACGACGATGATGATGATGATGATGATAGTATATTGGTGATAGTGGTGACGTAAAGAATAGGGTGAATCGTGCAAAACGATACAAAACATACATGTTACTGGTCGATATCGTCTCTCAACTTTAGCGCGAGGTTGCAGCACGAGGTCAACCACGAAAGTGGAAACCGTTGCGTGGTTTTGGCCAAGGCAATCATCGGTTTCCTCGTGTTCTATCGGCTTGCATTTCGATAGAGTATTTTTTTTTTCTTTTTTTTTTTTACAACTAACGGGATAACGATGTCACGAATGAAATAAAAATAAAATAACTAGGTTTACTTCCTTCAATTTTTTTCCAAATCGCGATAACTAAATACGTTAAAAATGGTTTTTAATTATTTACGTGTAGAACATTTTTTTCTGTTGAATTTTTAATATTTTCTATAAGAATATACTCTTGCATAATGAATTAGAAAATTTTAAACAAACCATGTAGACCTTGGATATGCTTGGGAACGTAAGATTATTATTTATAGCCGGATGCTATTTTCGTTTTCATCCTCGGATTATCTTTATTATTTCCGTCCGAAATCGCATGATGGTGTTTTGGTGAACAATACGAATTGGCAAGTAAAACAAGTATACTAGTTTATTAAAATCACGAGTCCTTCGTATTTTGTTAACGTCATTGGTTATTTTTATATTACGATAAAACTATTACATTACGTTTAAACGTAACACGTGTTTTACATATGAAACTTGTTTGCCGAGTCATTTAATTGTCTAATGTAAATAACTGTAATTACTTAACGCACGTATTTTTTAATTTGAAATTAAAGTTAAAAAAATAATAAATCTTACCGATTGGTATTTCAATACTAATGAAGGACAAATTTCCTTTTACTAAGATACGAATTTCGATCGTTGATTCGTTAACGTCAAATTTCATTTTCTCGTAACCACTAGAGTTGATTCTATGAATAGAATTTTTCTAAAAATAAAATAGAAAATAAGATATAAATATTCAAGCAAAGACGATTTATTTTTTAATTACCTAACATGATATACATCATACGTTGCATATAAATAAATATACTACTTACATACGTTAAATCTGCATCGTCATTTTGATTATCAATTTTTACTGGATAAAAAAGCCACTTTCGGTAATTAAAAGAAGTCACGTTTTTCACCACGTTTTCGCAGTATAGGTCAAGGTAAATCTAAAAGTTCATTCGATGAGTTAACGAATGTTGTTTTTAATCCTATTCATCCGAGAGAAGTCACTTACCCTACAATTTTTATTGATAATGTTTTCATTTCTTTCAGCTTTGTTTATTTCACTTCTTCTGGGAATTTTCTCTACAATTTTAAAAATAAAACTTATCACATTACAATCCAGATATACATAAATATATGATTTACGTAATATATATATATATGAATAATGCACGAATAATAAGAACAATAATTTTGTATCATTGAACTAGTTCTTTTCTCTTATTTTTTTTGTGATAATTTATATTTTAATAAATTAACGACAATTTGTTTATTTTAAACGTATGCACAATAATAAAATTATTTTGCATTTGAATAATTTCTTATCGAAATTCTTTTCGTTAAACTTACGTATACCATACGATATTGATAAGAGGAATAACAACGAATATGTTTTCGACAAATCTTAATCACGTCATTCATTTTGTTGAATTTTCTTTATAAAAACATATATCATAATATTAACTATCGTTGTAATGATAATTACGTCAATGCATGCATTCATCGCTTTTTCTTCGAATAGTTTGTTTTTAATGTTTCAAAGCGTATCGTTGAACTAATAAGATGTCTTACCCGTTGTTTTCTCGACTAATTTCGTGGATCTATTGACGAGATTGATACGCAGAAAAAGATCTTTTTCCTTCTTGACATGAAGTTGTTTATTTTTCAAACAGTACCTTTGAAAACGTATATAATACAAATATAATATAATAACAAATTATATTTTTTATAGATTTTCAATGTTAGTTATTTAGGTATAAATATTATAAATACCTAAAATTTTGATTATCTTCAAGAGATAATTTTTTTCGAATTACACAACCCGTATCCTTAAAAATACCGATTGTAGTCCTGTTTTCCCAAGGAGTTTCGATTTCAATATCCAATGGTTTCCATTGATAAACATCTCGAGGAATAATTTTTTGTTCAAGTTCACCATTTTTTATCGGCACTTTTTTATCAATTATAATTACTTCTCCGAGAATTCCATTGACACTGTAATTATTCAATAATAAAACTATTAATAAAATTTTATTCACAATTATTGATTCCATCGATATGACTTGTCACTAATGAGTTTAACGAAAGACTCCCTTCGTAAAAATTGAAACACTTGCTTATAAAGTCTCACCTTTGTTCGTTTACGAAAGTGTAAAAACTTTTTTCGTTACATTTGTGATAAGGTATATATATATATATATATATAGATATATATATACGTAAAAGTAAATCTGGGTGTAGACGAGAAGATAATTGCACAATTATCCGTAATTCTTTTTTTTTCCTTCTGGTGTCCTCAAAGTCGATGACGTCAAATTTATATGTTCGTGTAGGTTTATGCAAGATTTATCTATGTCTATGAAACAGTTCTTTCGTTCATGAAAGTATGATATAGAAAAGGAAAGTGAAAAAGTAAAAAAAAAAATCTAGTCTATCTTTTGACAAAGTATTATCTTTGTTACATTGGTAACTTACGTTCATTGTATCCTGTTCAATATTGACAATACGTGAATAACGTATCTAAGAATCCAATCGTAGGTGTATATTTAGGCTGATGCCAGTTAAAAAATATATCAATTCGTAAAAAAAAAATGATGTCAAATTTCTTAAAATCTTAACGAATGTTTTAAAAAATTCGTTTGTCAAATCATAAGCTATATATAATATGTAAATCGAAAAAGTAGATAAAAAAAATTAGAAAATCATTTAATCGAACAAAGTGATAATATTTTTACTTTCATGAAAGTAGATAGAAAATATGACATTTCATTTTTTTTTGTTTTATTTTTGTCAGATGCTGAACTAGACAACTTCGTAGGACAAGAGACCAATCAATCTCAGAATTCGTCAGTGAATCAGACAGTTTCGAAGAACGAATTGGATGGTGAGAATTTATTGGTGAACAAATCTGTTAATTCAGAGGAGTCAAAGCTGCCGACAAATCAACCAACGAAACAAGGTTACTTCACGTCGATTCTATCGTCTTTACCAAACTTGTCCCTGTCCTCGATCAAAGCTGATTCTTTGGGAAGTCAAGGAAGCCAAGGAGTCGAAATCACCACTGGCAAACGAGATATAAATCCTTACAGTGTACCTCAAAGTCGCAATGGTTCATTATCGGAAACGTCGTCGTTTATAGCGGCTAATCCTCACGATCCTTACGGTGTAAACCAATCAGGATCTGGTGAGGCTAATATAAGAGCTACTACTTCCGTTGCTCCTCCGCAACCAACTTTTCCCCCGACTATACCAATCTCAACAGGTAAATTTCAAGTTCGACTAGTATATTTACATTTTATATTATTTAAAACTAGTTTTAAATAAATTTATCAATCGTACTTTTATTTTCCAGGTCCCGTTTCTTATCGACTTGGTAATCAACGACGTTTGAAATATGCTCCACCCCCTGACTTAACATCGAATAATACAAAACAATATCCGAATCCACCTGTACCAGATTTCTTCTCCCCTTCAAACGTACTAACACCATCAAGTATATTAAATCCAAATACAGCAAACATTGAACAACAAATATCAAACAATAGTCCTGTACTATCACAAACCTCTGTGATCCCTCCTTCAGAACAAATTGTGACACCCGAACAACGTTCACAAAGTACATCCCTTCATGGATCGTTTAGGTCCAGTCCTTCGACGATAGGACATTCCTCCAATTCCAACGTAAATTCTCAAAATTCTTTTGGTGAAACTCCTTTAACAACCGGCCCATCCGGATATTCAGTTTCTTCATCGAGATCGATACCTCCGCGAAATCTTGATCCCGCCACCCCTCAAAACACTCCGGCAAACAGTTCCTTTTCTTTTGATTTGTATGCAAATCAGCCGAATCATTTTATGCGATTTGGATCAACGTATTATAACAAGAAAGATCAAGAAGTCTCGAACAGCCAGTACACTAACAGCCAGGATATTTTTAAGCAAGAATCGTCCAATCCTACTTTGGATGTTTCAAAGGCACAGTCGTTTGTATCTCCAGTAGTTAACACGTTCAAACCTATTTCAGTAGATAAAGTGAAAGAAAAATTAGAACATTTCTTGGCTGAGCAAAAAGAGGAATCACCATCCGGTACTTCGTCGGAATTTTCTTCCGAAGTAGCCAATATCACACCACAAAATGAAAATGAGATAAAGACTCTTAATTTTAATAATATAATTCAACCGTCCGGTGAATCGAATGAGGAGTCAAATAAAATAAAATCGAACGGCGAACCGTCGAACGCTAACTTGTCCAAAAGCGATTCTTTATCCGACATACCTTTGAATCAAAACTCCTTTGATATTACAGTCTCACTGGAAAATCCCGAAGATTTAAGGAAAACACAACGTATTACATTTGATACTAAAACTAGTCAATTAAATTTAACTCCTCAACTACAACAATCTAATCAGACGCAAGCATTGCCTATTTTACCTTTGGACAATATTTTTCCGGAAAAAACAACGGAAACAGACAAACATATAAATCCAAGATCAATTCAAGAAGAATCTAAATCAAACTCTACATTCGTTGATTTTTCGAACACATTTATCGAGCCAGCTGAGAATACAACGAATTATTCTTTGTTTCAACCGCAGCAAAGTGATATTAATACAAACTTCAATCAAGTCTCAAACATTGAATTACATAAAAAAGAAGAATATCCTTCCTTTAATCAATATTCTACAAATACTGTATCCACAATTCCTCAATCAATTTGGAACAATAATAAAAATATCCAAATACAGAATAACGATTCAACACGTAACGATCAACCTCCTCAATTTTATAATCCTGCCCAGTTAATGGCTGAGGCTTACAAATATCAATATCCTGCAAGTATATATGTACCAACGACCAATTCTGTATTCAATAGTCAAACGCACACGTTTGTTGCTCAAGCTTCGAAATTGGAAGAATCACGAAACATTGTTTCTGATAACGATTTTATCTATGCACAACATTCATTTCCCATGACAACAGCTGTACCCGAGCCTACAGGTTCTGCTACTCTTAGTCCAATTCAATTATCGGCAAGTCCATTCAGTGGTCATACGACACCAGACGGTATACCTTTGAGTCTTCATACCTTGGTAAATTATTAATTTCTCATATAAAATTAAAAACTAAGAACTTTACTTACGCTTATAATTATATGGAATTACAGCCTACTGGTGTTTCAACCGGACGAATGCAGTACAAAGTAATAAATCATCACTGGTTCTATCGTAAGGAGGTGGAAAATAAAGTACTATGGGTACCGTTTTCCACGGAGGATAGCTCGCGATTAGAAACTGTACACAATTCTAGTGAGATAACTACAGAAACTACAGTAGCTACCGATGGTGGTCGCTATGACGTAGATATTCTCAGACGTCGAAGATCTCCTGTTTATTGGTCAGGACCTTCGACAGAAGTGAGGCGATGTTCTTGGTTTTACAAAGGACCTTCAGAATCCAAATATATCCCTTACGATGAGAGCATCGCCGCAAAACTCGAAGAAGAATTTAAACATGCTTGTATTACGTCTTCTTGGAATCGCCGAATAGATCTGAATAATGGAGAATATATTATATTCCATAGTGAAACTGTACACGTTCATTATTTACAAACCAATTCTTCAGATGCGAGTACCTCTTGGACTAATCCTACTGTATGTATATCTACATTTTCTTTATTTTATTTTTATATATACTATAATTAAAAAAAAAAAAAAACCATTTAGATTGTTATTTATTGTACATTACTATATGTGCGTATACATGTCGCTATTTTGCTTGTACACAAATATTATTTTACAAGCTTCTGCAATATCATTATATTATTCTTTTCCTAGAGTTAATTATTGCATTCGTAAAATTTTATTTCTATTATTTTAGTATTGAATAAAACGCACGCATGGTTTTGTTTGAAGTATTTAATCGTAATTTCTGCAGGATTCAGAGGACGGTACATATTTACAGGGTGGAAGTATTAGACAACGAATGGTTAAAAGAGGTGTCATTGATTTTAATATAGACAATGGTGAGCCAGAAAAAATCGATCATCTTCTTTTCGTAGTTCATGGTGTGGGAAGTGCTTGTGACTTGAAATTTAGAAGCGTCGAAGAAGTTGGTAAGTATTGTAAAACAAATAAATCTGTTAAGTAGTCGAATAATATCAATTTTACGTTAAATTTGTTTTTAATTCTAGTTGATGAATTCCGTAGTATATCATTGCAATTAGTACAGTCACATTATCATACCGCTAGTAAACATGGAATCGTTAATAGAATAGAAGTTTTACCAATTTCATGGCACACATCGTTACATTCCGATACTGGGATTGATAAAAAATTAAAGGCCATTACTTTAGAGAGTATACCAAAGTTACGACATTTTACAAACGATACTTTGCTCGACGTACTTTTTTATACTAGTCCGACATATTGTGAAACGATCATGCAAACGGTTGGAAATGAGATGAACAGACTATACGCCTTATTCAAAGAAAGAAATCCAGACTTCGATGGAGGAGTTTATTTGGGTGGTCATTCTTTGGGTAGTCTGATAATGTTCGATTTATTATGTCATCAAAAATCTCCGGTGACAGAAGAGAAAGAAGAAGAAGAAGAAGAAGATAGTGAAGTTAACGCCGGAAAGGTAAATTTTATCGATGATGCTAAATTAACGATACATATAACAAAATCTCATTGTTATTCATATTTTTCTATGTAGGAAAATGAAAATTTGGGTCCCATACAGTCATTGCAAGGGCAGATTTTAAAAAGACGTCTCAGTAAGAAAATCAGTTATGTGATCGGTATTGCTGGAACTGGACAACCTTATATACATTATCCTCAAATAAATTTTCACCCACGTGCCTTTTTCGCTTTTGGTAGTCCAATCGGTATGTTCGTAACGATTCGGGGCATTGATACGCTTGGAGAAAACTTTGCCTTACCTACTTGTCCAGCTTTCTTCCATATATTCCATCCATTTGACCCGGTTGCCTATAGAGTGGAATCTCTTATTAATCCAGAAGCTTATAAGTACCGACCGATGTTAATACCTCATCATAAAGGCAGGAAGAGAATGCATCTAGGTAGGTGATAATAACATTTCTTTAAGTAATAATTATAATACATAATGATATAGTGTGAATTAAATCGTATTAATAAAATCATTGGTTTTAAGAATTGAAAGAAACGATGGCACGAGTGGGAGCTGATCTCAAACAGAAACTTATCGATTCCGTCAGGAGTACGTGGAATTCCTTTTATCAGCTTGCCTTTCATAAACCAGATGATGTTCTCGAGCGAGAAATTGATAGAGTCGTTGAGGAACAATTAAAGCAAATACCGAATGAGTCAGAACAACCGAGTAACGATGATGGTGGAGCTGATATTAAAATGGGAAAATTGAACGGTGGTCGACGGATAGATTACGTTCTTCAAGAAGCACCGTTGGAATGTATCAACGAATATCTTTTTGCTTTAACAAGTCACGTTTGTTACTGGTTAGTATGGAAATATGTCGATTGCCTTTTAAAATATTAGATTAATCGTAAGAATATTTTTTACCGCTATTGTTTCTTTCACTTTAGGGAGTCTGAAGATACAATATTGATGATATTGAAAGAGATTTATGGATCGATGGGTATACAAACTGACGCACAATTGCCTCAACAAACTTTGACCATTGAACGACCATCGCTATCTTCATCCCCTTCAATTTCCAGTTCTTTTAAAAGCGATACGACAGTACCTGTAATAGGCATGGACTCTAAAATACCTATTTCCAACATTGGACCACCCCCTATAACTGGTTTTGTGAGGAAATCGTGATTAATACCAAGTTATCGTATTTCGAGATATTTTATTCAACCTAAACAGTAAATTCTTTACATGACGTTAGATAAATGAATTTATGAATTATCAAACGCGGGGTCAATGTTGACGCCTATATCTGTTACTGATAAGGAATATAGCATCGAAACTGAAACACCGAAAGTGATCATCATCAACGTAACGTGTCGATAATCATCAATCTAACAATAAGCGTGTGTCATAAAAAATCATAAAAAATCATTAAAAATCATAAAAAATCATCAGATTAATGTTATATTTTTAGAATCAGATTGGATAAAATAATGTTCATGCCTGCGAATTGTATATAAGATATCTCGACTATTCGAATTAGGCTTTCGCGTAGAGAAATTTTTGAACGTATAGAAGTTGAATTTGTAATTAAAGGGAGAAAGAGTACATGTTTGTATACGCTCATATGATCGTCTGCGTGTGTGTTTGAGTGAATGTTGAAAAAGAGATTTGCAACGAAAAAGATATAATGAGGGTAAGAGATAAAACGTTGTTCTATATATATATATACATTAGTAAGATTCATAAATGTACATTTAGTTAATCTAATTACCATAAACTATACAAATTTTTAAAATTATGCTCTGCGATCGGTTATAAGTTCAATTTTAATTGATCTTATCGCGTGATTGCATTCAATTAAATCTTTTAATAAATTACTGTATTCTTTTATACAATTATCTTTCATTATATGCACTCCTCATATCATAGTCAATAGATAAAATAAGATCCTGTATCCTTTATTGCATGGTATATCTTTTGATCGAATCATTGAAGTGCCATCAGCTTATCGTGGCGACTCGGTTTAGTTACATCGCATAAAAAAGAAAAAAACAACCAAGGTTTCGATACATGCACGGCTATCACGAAACGCTAATTAATTGCAGTGCAAGCCTACCAGGTACAAAGACTGTTTTACATTTTGCGTGCAGATCCTCGTAAAACTACATGCCTGTCAACTGAGGCGAATTTCAAGATGATTTATCGTCTCTCGCAAAACGAAGTTTTTCGCGGTGTTTCATAGCTGCTGTTACTTACTCTTACGAACCACCGAAAGCCAACGTTTTCGCACATGCAACTTGACGTTGCTCGCGTTGGTACGGCCTGTACCATACACACGAATATAGATACATTTTATCGTCACGAATCATTTATATTTTGTATACTCGACTTTTCGTTTTTTTCTTCTTTTCTTTTTATGAAATTTTTCTTCTCAAAAAAAATGTTTACGATATGACCGATTCATCTAGACAATTTAAATGAAATACAGAAAATATTTGTATTACTTGTTGAAATTATCGGAAGGAAGAAATCAGAATTCAGAGATGTACAACCACATATACACCGTGCTTAAAATATCCTCGGCGAAAGTGATACCGTCGGGCGATGAATTATGAATACCATTTTCATACACATCCGCCTGTGTCAACACTGTTTCGTAGTATAAAGCAACTTGACGATGTACTATACTTTGCATATGATGCACGGCCACGTTTTCCTTTTCATCGTGTAAGAATACTCGGAGAGTACCGCGAGACAGACGTTTATGCTACGATGTTGGGGATAACAATGAGACAGGAAAGAAATAAAGAAAAAAAGAAAAAAAAGAAAAGAAAATAAAATAGAAGAAAGAGGGTAGGGAAATAGGGGGTGAGGGGTGAAATTTTAGAACGAGTTTCGGTGAGAGTGATTTACACCTTGGAAAAACTCTCTGACATTTACGATACCTACTCGCGAATTATTTATAGCGGTTACCCGTGACGATGTGTAACCCTCAAACTATACTTTTCTACTCCTTTATTCGCTTTATTTTCTTTTCATAAGACGACACGACGACATATCATAACGATATCAACATATTTTTATCTATCTACAATCTAATATTCCCAGACTTAATAAAATCCGATAGAATATTGTCGAAAATTCTTTGATCTTTTCGCTGATAAGTTACTCGTGAGATTTAAAAAAATATATATCACTTGATATGTATCATAGTAACCTTGTTGGCTACTATTTTACACGTCCTTGACATTAATATTGTACTTTAACTATTTATATATGTAGGTGGAGCTTTAATTAATTTTAATCTCAAAGTCTCGGAAGAAGATTCGTTTAAACACCTATTCGTTCAACAAACATGACAAACAATCGAGCACAGCTTAGAAATCGAATCTATTCTCTAGGAAACGTTCGCCAAGTCTTGTTTAACTTGCACACATGAGCTACGCAAGCGCTAGGAGAAGCTTATAAGCTCTTTCCCTCCTTACTCTTCTCTTCATCTTCTTCTTCTTCTTTCATTCTCTCTCTCTCTCTTTCACTCCGTACCGAAAACTATTATGCACTTAAAGTCCTCTACGGTCTCTAGACATAGTGTGCACATAAAGGTGTATTTAAAATAAAATAACTTTATGTACGATTGGCAAAGAGCTTCGAAAAAGCTGCCATGATTGCCAGTGTTTTGCGATAGTTTGACTACTCGTTGTGGGGCTCATCATGATGGACGAAATTCCTCCGAAGACTTTGTGAGTAATCTCATTGGTCTTTTTCCGATCTTGGAAAGATCGGATTGGTATACATACATATACAAATGTAAATACTTTGTACGATCTTGAAATTAACGTCGTAAATAATTCTAACGTAAAATGATTAATTTTTAAAAGGAACAAAAATAAAAGTAAAAAAAAAAAAAAAGACAGAACGAATGTGAAATATTGTCTTAAATTTTGTTCAATTACGATAATCGAACCGTTTTGAAAATTGTTAATAGTAAAAAGCGTTTCAAATTACGTCTATTATCTTTTATTCCCATGAAATGAATAATCATTTCATTTAAAGAGCATATAAAATGTTTTACGAGCATCGAGAGAGTTTACGTTTAGGTCTGTTGACATTTACTACCATTCTATTCTTGCGCACTGGTTCAATCGTAACCGTGGCATACGCATTATGTTATTGTTTTCCCTACCCCTTTCTTCTCAATCCCTTCTCTTCTCTTCCCTTCTCACCACTTTTCAACGATTCCTCTCGTAACTCCTCTCTCCATTACCAAAATCGAAAATCAGCATCAACTTCGAAAATTTATTACACGATGCAACGTGCTACACCGATCTATGCGTATTCCTATACGGCTTTTTAGAAATTTGAAGCTTTGCCTATTTCCGCTCTAATTCGCCGATGACACATGTGGCTTTTTGGCACGTAGTAATACGTTACTATCTGTCTATCTATTTCATCTATCGATCTAAATTTGCGATACTCACGTTTTAACGTTAATCTCTAATTAACTTTGATTTTAACTATAATAATAACTGTTAAATAATAATCACGTGAAAAAAAAACAAACATCTTTAAAATTCATTATCTATCATTAATTCATATGGGATAAGACTAAAAGACACAGATAGTCATCACCAATTTTGTAATCACATCTTATCAAGAATTGGCGATCTAATTCGAATTTCAAGTCGAGTTTTTACGTTCGTTGATACGACCCTTTCTACTTTTTGTTTTTTTTTGTTGTTTTTCATTTCATCTTCTTTTTCGAAAAAGAAAAAAAAAAATCTAATAAAAATATATTTAATAATTCCTACACACATATCCTGCAGTTTTCTTTTTGTTTCATTGAATCAGGTACGTCGGTAATTTGGACCACAGTGTTTCTGAAGATTTGTTGTGTGCGCTGTTCTCGCAGATCGGTGTTGTCAGAGGTTGCAAAATCATTCGAGAGGTAAGAAAAAGATTTTTTTTCGAATGAATATTATTTAATAAACTAAAGTACTTGTCCATTTTTAACATTAATTTGGAATACGTTTGTTCAAATTAAAAAACGTATGTTTAAATTTAATAAATACTTGTTTATTAATTTGTAATTAATTAGTAGGCTTGCGAAGTTTGTTAACAAAACGCAATTAATAATATCTTTAGAGTATCATCGTAAGAATTCAAAATTATTGTATCTTGACGTTAATAACATTTGTATTTTTTTTTTTGTAAGAAAATCTCTTGCAGGACATTTTACCACGTGAATTTAATACAATTAAATAAATATTTATTTGAAGATAGAGGAAGGAATAATAAAGATATAAAAAATAGAGAAAGAACGATGTTTTGGGAAAACACAAAGATAAGATGGAGAAAAATTGACGATATGAGAAAAAGAGATTGAGAAGAGAGATGATTCACAAGATAAAATTGTAAAAGCGTCGAAAAATCGTGATTTTTTCGTATTACTGTTCGATTTCTCCGACGATTTAGTTTTCGGTTTACTTTTCTCCTTGATTTCTCTCTCACGATTTGGTCCCTCGTACTTTTTTCTAACTTCTTTTATTTTTTAGTTATTTTTTCTCTTTCTCTCTCTCTCTCTCTCTCTTTCTTTTACCATTTATATATATATATACACATGTATATACTTATATACTTTTTTTCTCTCACGTTCGTTCATTCGTTTCTCCTTTCACTTCCTACCCCGAGCTCGTTATATATTATTTTTCCTTCCATACCAGTGGGTTTCATTCGCCACGACATACACTCCCTTTCTCCACGTGCCATACTCTCATGAGACGTAACACACTTGCTTGTACGTACCTTGTTCCGAAATTTTGTGCCCACGTATTTTTCCTCCCTTCGTGGCATTCACATTTCCTTCTTATTCTTTTACGTTATATAGACAAATATACAAGTATACAATTTTTAAACGATCTCAAGAATCATAGTAAATATTATTTAACAAGATATTTGTTTTGATCAATCTTTTCTTTTTTGATTGATTCGGTACTACATAATTTGATGAATATATGTATAATATATCGCACTATTTCGTTACTCTTAAGTTTCAGATAAAAAAAAAAAAAAATAATAATGAAATTAGGATAATTGTGATTCTATTTAACGAGTTCATTTAATTTAGTCAATAAGTTTTATTTCGTATGATTTGTTTAATTTGACCATTGAATCAAAATTATCTTTATTAAATAAATATATAGCTATTACGTTCTATAAATTGGAATAGATTGCTGGAAAGATCGTAAATTAAATTTTGCTTTGTTTGTTCTCGACAGCTTTGTATATACTATTATAAACGGTATGGGGTGGTCTGAGGTAGAGGAAAAGGGAAGGTAAGAAATAAATAGGAGTTATTTTCACTTCTTTTTTCATTATCATCTGATCATTTCCGACCTATTATATTCCCACCACCATTTTTCATTTTATATACACACGAGTAGTAAAGTACACGTTCTCGCTTCTTACTCGTGCCGTTAATTACTTAATTTCTCTAACGATACACTTTTTTTCCCTCGGACGAGTCTTTGTTCCATCAGTAGACGGCGGCGACTTCGTAGTTACGACCCTTAGCACGCCATTATTGCGAGATACCGTAGCGTATTATCGCCGGCACCTTGATGGTCCTTAATAGTTGCAAAGAAAAGCTTTCGAAGACAAGGATCGAGGTAAAACGTAAAGAAGAAAAAAACAATAGAAAAAGCAAAAGATAGCACGCAGGCACGCAACTCTTTTTATGTGTTCTTCGAATGAGTTTTGCTGGGATAGTAAACTTTACGAATTTTCTTTTTTTTTTCTTCTTCTTCTTCTTCTTCTTCTTCTTTTCGATATATCACGAAACCTCATCGTATTGTAAGAAAACTTAAACAAAGTTAAACTTTGGATTTGAAATCTCTTTCTCTCCTAACATATATCTTTTAATCTTCTATGAAATCGAACACAAATATCGCATTAAAGAGTGTTATCAGATCGTTTAATAAAATACGAGTAACACGGTGGGGATAGATTGATATAGATCAGTCGATGTCTATCTTGATAGTGATAAAAGCAATACTCCTTTTATTTTTTATAAATAATACGATGGTAGAAATATTACATATTATTAAATCAATAAGCATACATTTCTACGATTTCTAATCGAAATTAATCAATATAATCTTATGTTTTATGTTTAACTATGTCATAATATAAATATCTTGTTGTCTAAAAGTCATTAGTTAAAGTCTTTATAAAACAAAATTAATAAAATAAAATTATAAGCAGATATAAAAAAGAATGAAGAAAAGTAGTAGATCATTGATCTCACTTTCGTATAATAACAAACATAACAAAGAGAAATGAAATAATGAAAGACAAAGATACGTCGTTAAAATCCCCGAAGTTTCGTATTGTTCTCTGTTCTGTCTCGTAATTTTTTCTCACATTAAAATATACATTGACAATGGCGGAAGGATAGATAGTAGAAAGATCGAAAAGGTATTAAAAATCGTTCTAACGCGTTTTTACTCTTTATACTTCGTCTGTGTTATTTCGTAGAGAGTATCGCTTTTGATAGTTAATGCGTATCCAATATTTTATGTATTCCGCATAAGTAGGACGAACGACTATGGGGCCAGGTATTTGCGTTTATTAGCTATAAACCCCCCACAGGTAGAGCTCACCGGTGCAGGACGACGGATTTATGGGTCGTCGCGGCTCTTCAGCCACGAAAATGGCGGCCTCACCTCTCTGTGAGTGCCGAGGTTTTGCACATTACGCTATACTACGTAAAAGCGCTGAAATGGCGTATTCTTTTTCTCTGTTTCTATATGTTTCTTTTTCTTTTTCTATCTATATTTCGTCGATACGTCTCCGCGAACACGAAGATTGCCCTACGATCGTATAATAGTCTCGTGAATGATGCTGACGCAACGATCTTTCTTCTTCTTCTTCTTGCATTTTACCAAGATCGTCGTCACTCTTTACTATACATATACAATATATCTACCTTTACATCTTTTACTTCTCTTTCTTTGATCGACAAAATTTATATGTAATTTTGTATACTAAGTTATTGTCTCGTAAATAATACTACTATGTTTGTTTTATACTCAATAAAACGTACCTTTTATAACGTTGCACTTTACTAAAATGCATTTCGATAAGAAAGAAATAACTAACATTTTTTTCTATGTATTTATTTATTTACTAATTAATTTAATTTATTAATCAATTGTCATACGTGATTGAGAAAGAAAAGAAAAGAAACAGATAAAACGATTATATTTAAAGTCAGAACAAATTCTATAACTCTAGTACAATTGAAAGAAAATCATTTATTTAATTTTATACAAACTTAAATGTATAATATATATTTATTTGCATCAAATTAAATGTTACATGTAGGTCTTACGATTCGATTGTAATTCGCACAATTATTGACATTACCGTGTATTTTTTTCTTAACGAACAAAAATGACGAACTTTGTTAGAGAGAGTGTCAGTGATTTAAGATAGTTCTTTTTCTACTTTGCTCAACGAACTTTTTTTTTATCCTACAACTTGCACATAATCCGTAGATCTCAATAGAGAGACGAATCTCACGTTGACATAATATAAAAAAAGAAAAATCTAACGATAAAGCGTAAAAACAAAATCACAACAAATATTTTCGAATATCGAATATGAAAAAGAATGAAAAGGTAGACAACGTGGTACAGGATAGCTCAGGGATATGCACGAGAGTTTTGTTTTCTGAAAAGTGTCATTGTACTGGGGAATATTTTAAGCACGACCACCTCGATCAAAGTGACGCAGCGTGAGGAAGAGACATGGACACACGATAAATCGAAATTCGTACAAAACGAGCCTGCTCGGTTATTGTTGATTTACACGCTAAGCTTTTCAACATCTGACAATAAAAAACGGACCACCCTGTCAACGGGTGGGGAGGGAGAAGGGGTTAGTATCCGTGTATGTATACTATTCAGCTTTCATTCTCTCGACTGATTCGTCATATCATATATCATGAGTCTACGAAAAACTGAGCAATGCATTATATTTACATACATTGTATATTTATCAATGAAATTTATAAGAAATCTCATTTGTTTTTTTGTTTTTTTTTTCATTCTTTTTTGTTTTTTAATAAATTCATCACAAATGTTTGTTCTTTCTAATAATAATATTTCAATAAAATAAGATTTAAAAGTTAATTAGAACAAATAAAATTATTTATTAGATTGTTAAAAGTTATTGCATTATCAAAAATGATGGTGCATTTAACTGTCACCGTTGTTAAATTGAAAAATCCTTTTAAAGTTTAATAAACGTTATTACTTTTTCATCATCTTCTCTTTACGATTTCAACTCCTATCAGGTAACTGACGGACTCCAATTTTCTGAGCAACTTCTCTGCGTTTTCCCTCTGTCTCTTTCTCTCTTTCTCTCACATTATTCGCACACCATGCACGAGATTTATATTGTATGCCCGCGAAGATCTACGCGAGGTACGTTTTCGCGATATGTGACGTTCCCTCGGCCGTGCCTACGAATAGATAAGTTCGTGATTTGTTTCGGCGTTGGGATTAATAGATCAAGGGTGATAACTGTTTGCCAGAGACTGGCGTGTTTTTATTCAAATATTGATAAGAGTAGTGAAAATCGATATTCGTTAAAGTTTTATAGACTATTTTATTTGTTGCAATTTAAATAGAACTAACAAGATTAAAATCAATCGATTTTAATCGTGTTCGATCGATCGAATTAAAAATTCAATTCTTTCGTAATTTTCATCGTATCTCCTGTAATATAATATTATTTTAAATCGAATGTATAAATAAATAAAAAAAAATATTTTAATTTTACATTTAAAGTATTTTCTATTATTAAAAATAAAACAAAAATAAAATTCTACCAATTTGATTTAACGATTAAAAGAATTATATTAGGGAATATCTGTCATACATG